GGATAAAAATTGTGACCTCTATAGGGTCCAAAACCTTGATATACATGGGCGGCCATTTTGTCAGTTTTGGTCCGATTTTCACGAAATTTGAACTAAGTCTTCCTTAGGGTGTAACGGTGATATACTAAAACGGTTTGTTAAATCGGATAAAAATTATGACCTCTATAGGGTCCACAAGCTAAAACGTGATTTTTCCGTACAATCAGGGGCCATAATTCAGGAAGTTACAGTCCGATATGCGTGAATATCGAAAGGAACCGAGATCATTGGGTTATAAACTTACATTTCAAGTTTCAACAAAATCGGATAAAAATTGTGACCTCTATAGGGTCCACAACCTTGATATACCATATTTTTACGCTATTTGAGAACGAACGGCGGTCATTTTGTCTGTCAGTTTTGGGCCGATTTTCACGAAATTCAAACTCAGTCGTCCTTAGGGTGTAACGGTGATATAATAATACGTTTTTTTAAATCGGATAAAAATTATGACCTCTATAGGGTCCACAAGCTAAAAACGTGATTTTTCGTACAATCAGGGGCCATAATTCAGGAAGTTACGGTCCGATATGCGCGAATATCGAAAGGAACTGAGAACTTTGGGTTATAAACTTACATTTCAAGTTTCAACAAAATCGGATAAAAATTGTGACCTCTATAGGGTCCACAACCTTGATATACCATATTTCTATGCTATTTGAGAACGAACGGCGGCCATTTTGTCTGTCAGTTTTGGGCTGATTTTCACGAAATTCGAACTCAGTCGTCCTTAGGGTGTAACGGTGATATACTAAAACGGTTTGTTAAATCGGATAAAAATTATGACCTCTATAGGGTCCACAAGCTAAAAACGAGATTTTTCGTACAATCAGGGGTCATAATTCAGGAAGTTAAGGTCCGATATGCGCGAATATCGAAAGGAACTGAGATCTTTGGGTTATAAACTTACATTTTAAGTTTCAACAAAATCGGATAAAAATTGTGACCTCTATAGGGTCCACAACCTTGATATACCATATTTCTACGCTATTTGAGAACGAACGGCGGCCATTTTGTCTGTCAGTTTTGGGCTGATTTTCACGAAATTCGAACTCAGTCGTCCTTAGGGTGTAACGGTGATATAAAAATTGTTTTTTTTAAATCAGATAAAAATTATGACCTCTAAAGGGTCCACAAGCTAAAAACACGATTTTTCGTACAATCAGGGGCCATAATTCAGGAAGTTACGTTCCGATATGCACGAATATCGAAAGGAACCAAGATCTTTGGGTTATAAGCATACATTTCAAGTTTAAACCAAATCGGATAAAAATTGTGACCTCTACAGTGTTCACAAGCTAAAAACGTGATTTTTTGGCCTTCAAAGCAAATATTCCTTTTGAAGTGAATTTTATTTGTATTCCTTTAACATTATGATATTTGATTCCAATGGACATATAGATTGGATCAATACGATCATATAGATGTCATAATACATTGCTTCTAGCATCTTCACTTGTCGAAAAATAACCAATTTTGTCAGGATCATTTTTTAAGATTTTTAGCCTTTTTAATTTCAGTTTATGGGTTCTGGGTAATTATTTATTGCCTGATTTGTGTAAAAGAAAAGCCCATATGCTCCGTGGTGCAAATTATCAACTGTCCTCTACCGATAAAAGTTTCTGTCGGTACTGAAAGTGCCATAATTTTGCCCAAAACTTCAGTTTTGACGTGTCTAAAGTTCTTTTAAAAAGCAAATATTAATGTTTACAAACCTAAGATCAAGCTGAATGCTCCTACTACAGACGCATATGTCTTGCTTACTTTTTTTTTTATTTCGGTTTTGCATTTGGGGCATTTTGATTTTAAGTTGAAAGATAAGTAACCAGGCAAAAAAACATACGCCCACAGCAGCTAAATCGCCTTAGCAGTCGACAATGGTTGTTGTCTATTTATTCTTATTAGGGCATTTAAGAGACATTTCATACAGATGACATTATAATTTTCGTCATTTGAGGGTTCACAAGGTTCTAAAAACTAAAACAAGGACCGTAACTCGGGTAGTAATCTACAGAAATTGTTGAAATTCGACAGGCTTTTTCGTTTTACTAATTCAAATAATGCCTATAAATTTCATACAGATCAGATGATAACTTTTGTCGTTCGAATGTTCACAAGGTTCAACAAAGTAAAACAAGGGCCATGACGGAAATTGCTGACATTAAATAGGCTTCTTCATGTTCACAAGGTTCAACAAAGTAAAACAAGGGCCATGACGGAAATTGCTGACATTAAATAGGCTTCTTCATTTCACTAATTTAAATGATGCATATGAATTTCATACAGATTGGGTGATAACTTTTGTCGTTCAAGCGTTCACAAAATTCAACAAAGTGAAACAAGGGCCATAACTCTAGATGTAATTAACGAAAATTTGCTGAAACTCAATAGGCGTGTTGGTTTTACTAATTTAAACGATACATATAAATTTCATACAAATTGGATAATAACTTTTGTCGTTAGAGCATTCACAAGGTACAACAAAGTGAAAAAATGACCATAACTCACGGCATAATTAATAGAAATTGCTAAAATTCAATAGGCATCTTCGTTGCACTAATTTAAATGATGCATATCGGATGATAACTGTTGTCATTAGAGCATTCACAAGATTCAACAAAGTGAAACAAGGGCCATAACTCTAGATGTAATTAACGGAAATTGCTTCTTTATTTGTTTTACTAATTTAAATGATGCATATAAATTTCATAGAGATCGGATAACTTTTGTCGTTAAGAGCATTAACAAGGTACAACAAAGTGAAACAAGGGCCATAACTCACAGCATAATTAACAGAAATTGCTGAAATTCAATAGGCTTCTTCGTTTCACTAATTTAAATGATGCATATCAATTTCAAACATATCGGATGATAACTGTTGTCATTAGAGCGTTCACAAGATTCAACAAAGTGAAACAAGGGCCATAACTCCAGATGTAATTAACAGAAATTGCTGAAATTCAACAGGCTTCTTTGTTTTACTAATTTAAATGATGCATATAAATTTCATACAGATCGGTTGATAACTTTTGTCGTTCAAGCGTTCACAGGTGCAACAAAGTGAAACAAGGGCCATAACTCCAGAAGATATTAACGGAAGTTATTGAAATTAAATAGGCTTCTTCATCTCACTAATGCAAACAAAATATATCACTTTCAAAACAATCAGATGATAAATGTAGTCTGTAGAGTGTTCACAAGAAATTGTGGACGACGGCCGGATGGACCGACGGAAGGACCGACAGACAGACAGGACAGGAGCGACGGCAATATACGACCACATTTCCATGTGGGAGTATAAAAAGGGTGTATAAATGAGCTATTTACAACGCATTCGGTCTTTTCATATTTTAAAATATTTCTTGACAACTTTCATGAACCTGTAGCATTAATCAATACGATGACAATGCATGTCAAAATTAGTTGCCGAGAAATAGGCAATTTTGCATGAGTCACTTTTCACGTTATTTTGCCTGTAAACGAGTTAATTATAACCTGATTTTCTATTTTGTTTCCCCATGTGATGCTTAATGCCATTTGTGACTGGGCGGATTCAATTTTACATTTTCACCAGAAATGATGTCATTTGGACAAAAACTGTATTTTTAGCTTTCAAAACAGATATTTTATTCAAATGAGGGTCATTTGTAATGTTTTCAAAATGTTGACATTTGCTTCCACTCAACAAATAGAATAAACCCATGTGTTCATACAGATACCACAAAATGGTTTCTAACTTATACGGTTGCACAGAAATAGACGATTTTCTACAGGTCACCTTTCAAGGTTTTGGGTCTATAAAAGTGTCAATTATTTTTCGATTTTCATAAATTTTCACCATGTGATGCCTAATGCCATTTATGATTTCATAGAACAGATCTAATATTTTCATTATTACCGGAAGTAATATCATTTTGGCAAAAGCTGTATTTTTAGCCTTCAAAACAAATATTTTGTTGTAATGAATTATATTTATTATTCGATTAATATTATGATATTTGATTCCAATGGCCATACAGATTGGATCAATTCAATACGATCATATATAATATATATGTCCAAAAATTGCTTCTAGCATTTTCCCTTGTAAAGAAAGAACCAATTTTGTCAGATTTACTTTTAATGATTTTTTGTGCATTTTAATTTCCCATTAGAAAGTTAGCTAACTTAGCGGTAAGTTAGTAACAAATTTTGTCAGGATTATTTTTTTGACATAACACATGGTAACAAATGTATAAATGGTATTAATATTGCTGGATTTGGTTGATTCTGCGACTATTTTATAACACGTGTGCAATGCTTATGTGGAAATCTGTTGAATGGTTTCATAGGTAAGTTGAAGGGTAACGTGGCACCGGAGGTGACATAAGTTGAAAGGTAACGTGGCACTGGTGAAACCCGTCATAACTGCATTGCAGTTCTAGTTGACATTTGAATTTAATCAAATTTTTTTTTTTTTTTTTTTTAACTTGAATCTTAGTATCAAAAAGATTAATCACATTATTGGCATATTAAAACTTTGAATTTTAAATCAGTTTTACAGAAATTGTTAGAGCTGCGATGGCTCAGTGAGTAAGACATTGGAGGTTGATTCTGGTGTTGGCCGAGCCTTGTCAGTGGTGCAGCACAGAGCGCCTGGGAAGGGATAATGTATAGTTGTTCAGATGGGATGAAAAACTAAGTTACCATATACACATTGATCGTCAAAGGGAAAGAGAAATGGGGTTTAATGACCCACTCAACACAAACTAGGTCATTTTGACACTAACATACAGTTTAATTTTATTTCAATAATTAGCTAGCGCGTAGGGGTCATTAGCAGTGGGAGGAAACTGAAGGACCCGGAGAAACACATGAGGTTGGACAAGCAACCCTACTCCTTGCCACGTACAAGCGGGGAGCAGAACAGTATGACATTAAACCCATTTTCATTTCATTTCACAGAAATTAATAATACATACCCAACCACCATGATCAGCTATCCATTTTGCAATTTTTGATCTGACAATAAATCGAACAACATATTGTGTTATCCTTCCTAAGAAATTGGAAAACTGGTTAAAATGTGTTCTTAACACAGACATAGCCATTCTATAACCAAAAAATAATAACATACAAATACGTCCCCAGTTCATCTCATTTTCTAACAACCTGAAAGTACAGAGAGAAAACAAAATAATTAGGCTTTCAGACTTTCATCTGAAAGACTATTGTTTTCACTAAAATTATTATTATTATTGTTTACCCTGGGAGCCTATTTCTCCATGATGGAAAACAGATGTTGATCTGGGATCAAATTTTCTATTGGGAAATCATATGGTGGCTGACTACTTGATAAACTATTTTTGAAACTTCAGCGCAAACTGAATGGGGTCAAAATTTGTATGTTATCCTGAAATTGACCAGCGGCTGCCAGGCAGGATACACCCACATTTTGCAAGAGATGGATAGAGAACAAGCTAAAAACAAATGCGATTTTTTGTACAATCAGGGGCAATAATCCAGAAAGTTATGGTCTGAAATGCACAAATATCAAAAGGGATTGAGATCTTTGGGATATAAAGATATGTTTTGAGTTTCATCAAAATCAAATAAAGATAGGTTGCCAGGTAAGGAAACATTGGCCCACAGCAGCTAAATCGTCTGGGCAGTCAACAAGAGTTGTCGCATATTTTTACTTTTTCAGTAATGAAACATTTATAATACACTAAAATCTGATTAAGAGTAACAACTCATCAAGTAATTATCAGAAAATTATTAGAATATGTTTGGTTTTTATAAATTTCAGCCTATTTAAAGTAAACGGATATAAACTTTTGCCTCTAGAGCCTCTACAAGATTTTTCAAAGTGATCAAGGCCATAACTCTGGCAGTAATTATCGGAAATCACTGAAAATCAATAGGCTTCTTCGTCTCATGACCTTAAACACTGTTTGTAAATTTAAAGTCAATCGGATATTAACTTTAGCCTCTAGAGCGTCCACAAGATTTTTTTGAAGTGATCAAGGGCCAGAACTCTGGCAGTAATTATTAGAAATCGATGAAAATTAATAGGCTTCTTCGTCACATGACCTTAAACACTGTATAAATTTACACTGCAACATTGGTACTGTTTAATCTGACGTAAATAGCGTTAATTTCTACTCTGTGTCCAATTATTCATAAATATTGTTGAATTTCGTCGAATAGTGCTCAATTTGTACTTGTATCGAATTTCAATCTCATTGTTTAATTTTGATTACCAAGCGTCTAATTAACTAGTGTTTAGTTTCTCGACACGTGTTGAATTATAAGCATCCCGTCTAATTAGCACGACTGTTCAATAATTAGTTGGACCGTTCAATTTCCCGAGCCGTGATTAAAATCAGTCAAGGTGTCCAATTACGCATGGTGTTCAATTTTGTTCTCAAACATCTAATTTCATGTGCGATGTTCAGATATTACAATGTGTTTAGTTGTTGGTCATCGTTCAGTTTTGCCGCACAATGTTGAAATACTGTAATAAGTGTTAGTTTTAGTACTGACCTGTTGCGATACAGTGAAATATTATTTTTCAGGATTCATACAACGGCAAGTATCTGTAATGCCTGTCATTATCCAGGGATTATTTTTCAAGATCACTACGGTGAAACAGATGTTGGATTTTTAATGGCCACGGGACGGTTCCGAAGCAAAGCTTTCTTGAGATGCACATAACATTTCGTCCACAATCATAAAACGTGTATTTATATATCCATTTAAAACAGTATTTCCCACACTGACAACACATCCACGAATGATAAATCTCACGCATCTGATTTATGTGTGTACACGTCGACTCCCTAGCCTGATTAAATCCTTTTGTTTAAATGTCTTCGCAATTAAGACTAACAGCATGGGTATTGCACCAATCCTATATTACATAATATGGGATCTATAGAAAGCATTTTGGGTTGAAGGGTAGTGCGATTATCTGTGGCAATAAACACAGAAGGCTTGTAGAATTAATACACATGTGTCAGAAGCTAACAATATGTCTATTGTGTAAGACAAAACGTGAAAATAAACTAATAATTCAAACTCTTTATTTCTTTTTATTATTATAGAACGACGACCCTTTTTCACTGAAGATCAAATAAAACCTACTAAATACATTTCATGCTTATATGTAACGCATAACTTTGCCAAACTTTATTTCAGAGAAAGCCAATTTAAAAAGGAATTGTATCATATATTTAAGTTTAATTTTTTAATAAAGAATGGGGATATCATAAATAAGTTAATTCTATGATCATAAATAAGTTAATTCGATGATTTTGTGGCATGTACTATATTAGATGAGATCGAAAGAGCATTTTAGATTAGGGGTTACAGAACAACAAGTAAGGTGGAATTAAAAAGTCCAACGGAACTGTTCTTCAGACTGAATGGCGACGCCAATCATAAAATTTTACTGAGTTCGTGCTGCCATACTTTCTAGTCAGAAATAGCTCTTTGGAATTAATGTCTTCGTTAAAAATTTTGGCATTTACCTGTGACAATAATTTTAGCTTCGTGCAAAAATCGTGAAGCATATAGTTTCAACTTGGAAGAAATGTTAGAAAATGGCTAACAAACAATCAGCATTGTTGATTGTAAAACATTCTTGGTTTATTTTCTGCTTGAACGATTGCTGAATACCTTTTTCATTTCGACACCAAAGAGTCTGGTGAATGCATACTGTCAATCAAAGTTCCATAATGAGAATTGACAAGTAACAACAAAAGAAATCTATTGACAGAACGTAGACGCCCCTTTAACAACAAACTGTTACCTTGCTGTAGTCGTGTGAACAATATGAGTTTTATTGTTAATTGTCAGTAGTAATAATTACAAATTTTGAAAAGAGATGTCAATGTATTTGTGATTTTACATGTAGCTTCAGTCCATTCAATAACCTGTATTTATTACTCAAATGGTTTCTCAATTAGCAGAATGTCAAAATAAAGAAAACACAGTTACACTTACAATACAGTCTCAAGACCAACTAGAAATCAGCCAGATTTCTTCAAGTTTGGGAATGTGACATCAAAGATTTGTTGATGAGAATCCTGTCATCAACCTCTCAAAGACAATATAAAGACAATATATTATCGCCCATGACTGGGACCATGTGTACACGGATGGCTCACGCAATCCTGAAAGGGGCACCAGCTCGTTTGGAATATACCTGCCAAACGGGGAACAGGGAATAAGCAGGAAACTGCCCAATAACTGTTTGGTGTACACTGCAGAGCTTGTGGCCATTCGTGACGCTATATCATGGATTTCCCATCAAAAGACTAGTAAATTCGTCATTCCAAGCGACTCTCTGAGCAGTCTGATTTCAATCCAAAATGACAACTCGGACTCAAGACCAGAAGTCATTTTGGAAATCAGGCAGCTGTACCAGAGGGTTTTAGAGAAGGGAAGCAAAGTAGAACTCGTGTGGATTCCATCACGTCAACATTAGAGGAAACGAGGAGGCAGATCGACTCGCCAATGAAGGTCTCAAGGACACAGCACCACTCCGCACCATAGACTACAGCACCACGGAAATCTACAGTATGGTCAAAAGACAGGTCAATTCAATCTGGGAATTAAATCTCGTTGAACTTGACACATACAGATTCCGGCTGGATGACAAGATCTACACAAAGACAACACTCAATCACCCTAGAAGAGATATTTGTAGACTTATATCGAAGCTAAGGGTGAAAGAGCGGCTGCGAGACTACAAACACCAAGTCATCATCTGTGAGTGCGGAGAAGAATGTGCCACCAACCATATCCTGGTAGACTGCGAGGTATACGAGGAGGAGAGAAGGGAACTAGTGAGAACAATGGAGACCAACAACATACCATTCAACACTAAGAACCTACTCTTCCCGAGACCAGATCTGAAACTGCAAATCTTCGAACAAATCCACGCCCTAATGGACACAGTTGGACTAAGTAGAATAGTGAAGTAAGAGGGGGTCACGGTTAGACGGGCCCGGCATCTAAACACTAAACTACATAGGGGATTTATACCAAACTGGCAGGATAGTGGAGTAAAGGGGAGTCACGATCAGACATGCTCGGCATCTAAACACTATTCCACCAAAAACAGACACCAAACCTACAGGGTGGGATAGTGGAGTAATGGGAGGTCATGATAAGACGGGCCTGGCACCTAAACACAAACCCCACAAAGATGACATCTACCAAACTAGCAGGATAGTGGAGTAAGGGGGAGTTACGGTCAGACGAACTCGGCACCTCAACCCTATTCCGCAAATAAAACTGATACCAAACCCAGAGAGTGGGATAGTGGAGTAAGGGGAGGCCACGATAAAACGGGCCTCCACCTAAACACTAAAACGATGACATCTACCAATCCAGAAGCAGACGTAATCATCTACCAAACGATATGTTTTATATTAAATAAAGGGAAGAACTTCCCACTAAACCAAATCCATGGCCTAAGGCCAAATTGAAAGATTGCAAAATCATATTCTAAAAAACAGGAATCAGCTTCGGCTCTCCTATGTCTTGTCTGCGATATCACTTATGTGGAAGCAGACGTTGTAATACTTTTAGTAGAATTTTTGCTCGAGAAATAACATATTCGCATTATATGTGATATGTACTTAAAATACTTAAATCAACTTAGTCTGTAATTGATAGTTGACACATAAAAAAGAGCGATTTATCGAAAACATATGTCACTCATTTACCACCGAATTACACGTGAGTGGAATTATTCTAATTGCATCATTTGGTTTAAAGTAACCAATCATATCGTTAATTGCACAGGTTCAGGGCCATGAACAGGCTTTCTGTGTGTGATCTGCAGGAGTCTTATAAAATAAATCATAGTAAAGTTGTAAGTCAGACTTGCATTAGATTCCAGAGATCGAGGGTACATCTGAGTTCCTAGACAGCCGAGAGGCTGGATAGGGTGGAGAAGTGGTTTTAGCTATATAGTATTGTAATTTGTGCTATGCTTGTATACCTGTATTCAGTTATATGCTATATAAAATGTAGAAGCGAACTATGCATTATTATTCCTGGTAAGACAAACGTCTTAAGAAACTGGAAGAAGTAAATACACAACGTGAAGCAGAAGTAAAGACAGCTAGAGACAAATTCTAGACGATCACAAGGCTACA